CGTGCAAGTACTGATCCTGGAAAAGGTTGGCGATGTAAACAGATCGAGCTTTAAAGTTGGTCAGGGTCGAGAGGCCGCGAGGATACAGCTTAGAACGAACAGCAGGGGAATGACGAAGCCAGGTGGCGGTGTCGGGTTCCACCCACACGCAGGAGATGCAGTTATAACGAATCCAGCCTAAAACGCGCCGCATCACTGCGGGATCGGTGATGTCGCCCCCAGGGTGGCGACTCGTGTCGAGGCGCACGACGCCGAAGCCCATCCGTTGCAAGGCGCGGGTTGCCCCTCCGTCACAGCCGAGCACCAGCGCGGGGCAGTACCTGCTTCTCGTAGAAGCCCGCCTGGCAGCGCGCCGCAGGCGCGTCAGGCGAAGGCCCACCGTGCAGCGATCGGTGGAGGCGGCGGCCTGACCGCAGGCGGCGTCGGCGTCACTGCCAGCGGCACCTGCCGTGGGAAGACGCTCGAGGCCGCGGTCAGGAGGATGAGGTCGTTCTTCTGCCAGTCCACCTGCTCGTTGAACTTGACGACGGTCTGGCCTAGGTTGACGATCCGCTGCTGCATGCGGGCCCGCTTCACGAAGCGGAGAGGGATCTGGTCCGTCATCCAGTGGCCGCCGTCCTTGACCTCGTTCGTCGTGCGCCTGAGCGACAGCAGGTCGTCGGACGCACCCCCATGACGAAGCGAGTAGAGAATGAACTCGATCTCCAGACCGAGGGCGGCTGCTGCTCGACGGAACATGCCCCGCACCGCGTCGGGGGAGAGGGCCCAAAGGTCGTCGGTCGGGCCCTCGTCGTGTACGGGTCGAGGTCGCATCACGCTCCTCACCGTAAGGCGGTGGGCCTCGCTTGGCCTCAGGTAGGTGTCGAACATCAGCCCGATGAACAGAGTCGCGTCGAAGAGCTTCCACGCTATCAGGACGCCCACGACGGATGCCATCGCCGCTCGAGGTAGAGGGAGTCGCGTCAGTGGGAACACGAGCTCCCGCCAGCCTGTCAAGGCGCGAGCCGCCCGTGGGCACGGGTCGCTGCCAGCAAGGATCGCGGGTAGGTAGTGCTTCAGAGCGGGCATGAGCACACGGCCCGTGGCACTGCCGAAGCCGTCCAGAAAGCGGTTCACGAAGTAGGTAGCTAGGATGACACCGACCTCCTCCGTCGCGGCGAACGTCTGGGGCGTCGAGCGGCACCACTCCTCGAACTTCTTTGCGGCATCCCAGTAGTTGGCCATGGTCGTGTCCGACGCGGCGGCCGACTCCAGCACCGACAGGGCCCCTCGTGCGATCAGCACGGGCCCAGGATGGGACCTGGTCCTCCGCTCCGCCAGCGGCGTGGTCCGATGCCCTCGAAGTTTGGGATGCAGAGGCCTGGTGCTCCTCGAAGGTCGGCCCGACAAAGAAGCCTGTCCTGGACGGCGAGTCCGCGGCATTGCTCTCACTGGGGAACCACCGAATGGCGTGGCGGATGCCTGTGGCCGCCGACAGGGCACATAGTCGGCGTAGAGGGTCGCGGAGGCCTCGGGCGCCAGAACGGCCCTTGCCAGCGGCAAGAGCTAGAGCCAAATTGTCAACGGTGAACAGGATGCGATGATGACGAAGCCGTCCAGACCGAGCCGAGTGTCGCATCGCAAACCCGAGAGCCTCCGCCTCGTATCGCATAATGTCCAAGCCGAACCTTGAATGACGCGAACTGTGTATCGTGGCCCAGCCGTCGGAAGCCGTGATCGAGTCGGGAACCTCATCGAAGCCGTCGAGAGACGCAGCGTCAGCAGGTTGATGTCGCGATGATGCCGTAGACGGAGGGCCTCCAGGGATCCTAGGAGGCTTCGTACTGAGGCGGCACTCTTCGAGGCAATTTTTGTCCACGGTAGCTTCTAACACAGAGCGAGGCTCGATCCCGAGCGCGCGGGCACGGGCGTGCACGGCGTCGGAGAACCGATAGCGCCATCTCTCAGACAAGCGCCCAGCGGCCGCGGCCACCTCCCGGTCGACGGTCTTGCGGCAGACCCCGATGCCGTAGGGGGGGGCGTCGCTGCAGCAGGTAGTCGCCGACCACTGTGCTCTGACGTCGGCCCACCATAGCGGTAGGAGGGCGGCCGCCGCGCGCAGCTCGGCGATAACCGACGGCCACAGCGGCGCGCCCACTCGCGAGCCCAGGCCCATGAAGCGGTAGACTGAGTTGAAGACCGACAGCATGGGTCTGTTGGTGATCATACCCCACGCGCAGTGACCCACCACTGCTGACAAGGCCAAGGGCGATGCAAAGCCGCGTCTCAGTAGACCGAGCAAGGCTTGACGCAACCGGCAGAGCCTGTCGATCTTACAGCGGACGACGCCGACGTCGCCGAGGATGTCCAAGCCAGTGAAGACCACGCGCTTGGCAGCGGGGGCGAACTCGTCGACGGGCAGGCCCCTCGACACGAGCACGTCGCGCATGGCCTGGCAGGCCGAAGTGGCCACCTCGGGGTCAAGGGACACGGTGGCAAAGTTGTCAACGTAACCTGCGCCGATGACGTCGGAGTCCTTCCGCAGCGGAGGGACGGCGGCGCCGTCCACCAGCGCGGAGCCCTCGTCGATCCCCGAGTCGAGGATGGCCGTGGTCAGGGCGGACTGGCAGAAGTGGAGGGCCCATGACCAGCCCATCGGCATGACGGAGACGAACGGCTGCAGAAAGGCGTCCGCCCCGATGCCCACGCCGTTGAGCCGCTTGAAGCCCAAGCACCGATTCGGGACGACGGGCAGAGAAAAATATCGATGCTGATGTGGCGGAAGCTTCATATGGTAAAATGCGCACTGAATGTCCCCCTGGGCCACGTAGAAGTCGCGGTCGGCCTCGAGTGCGCTCCACGCCGACGGAGTCGGCAATCTCGTAGAAGGAGGGACCGAGAAGGACATGTTGGCCACCCGCGTGTCGAACACGAGCCGCAGGTTGACGCCGTTGGACTTCTCGACGAAGAAAAAGCCAATAAAAAAGGTAGCCCGACGATCGGCGACATCCCACTCAAGCATGCCAGCCTGGTCCAGGCGTAGCAGAAAATCAGCGTACTCCCGAGGCCGAAACCGAAGGCGTGGGTCCACATAGGGCGACCCCAGTCCCGAGTCCTTCCTGAGAGCAGCTGCATCAGCAGGGTCACGTAGCATTTGATGCCTCCACCCTAACAACATAGAACGATCAGCTTCAGACACGAGGTCGGCCGTCGGGACGGGGGCCACGTGCTTCGGCCAGGAGACGAGCTCCTTGTTGTAGGGTCTTACCCGAGACTCTCCAGAGTACCCAGGCGCCGATGCGAGCAACTCTGCGAGGGCTGCCTCGCATCTCTGGGGAGATTCAGAATAGCCAGGAGGTAGTTCAAAATCGCGATACTGTTGAGCAAGATACTCCCCAGCGTCACTACGAGCGCGTGGGGGAAGACCAGGAGGCGGGCCGATCACATCGTTCGGGTCGCAGTGGTACATGTCGTTGAGAGTGGGCACCGCGTCGTTGTACCACTCACGCCAAGCAGCTCCTCTGGCGACCCGTCTGCGGGCCGATCCGCCCATGGATGAAGTGCCCGATCTTCGCTCCACAGGTAGAGGGTGGAGGGGAAAGACGTCTCGCTGCCGATGGGGGTGTGCAGCGAGGGGGCAATGAGCCTGGCTGGCGCCACTGTGGCGCGCCCCACAGCCAGGCCTGAAGTTCCCAGGCGTCATGGCGCCCGCAAGGCCCGCTCCTCGCGAGCCTTGCGGCGAGGCCCCAGGAAGGGCCCCCAGAGGTCGAAAATATTGATAACCTTTCAGTTATGATGTTTCCATTGCCCGAGGAGTCCTGGCAGACTGGAACCCCGAAGGCGTCCTACTGACCTGGCGCCCCCGCACACTATAGAACGATTCTCGCCCACCGGCACCTGCACCGGCACCGGCACCGGCACCGGCACCGGCACCGGCACCGGCACCGGCACCGGCACCGGCACCGGCACCGGCATCGGCACCGGCACCGGCACCGGCACCGGCACCGGCACCGGCACCGGCACCGGCACCGGCACCGGCACCGGCACCGGCACCGGCACCGGCACCGGCACCGGCACCGGCACCGGCACCGGCACCGGCACCGGCACCGGCACCGGCACGGGCACCAGCGCCGTCGCCGGCGCCAGCACCGGCACTGGCACCCGCACCCGCAACCGCACCGGCACCGGCACCGGCACCGGCCCGGCGCCAGCACTGGCACCGGATGAAAAACATCATTGACATTGAACATCATGACATTTCCCAAACAGTGCTTGCACTTAGGGGGCCTTCTCTCTTCTTTCCTAGTATTAGCTGGGTCGTCTGAGGGGCGGTCTGGCGGCTCTCTCCTCCTCGCCGTTGCCGCCCTGTCGCCGCCCGTCGTCGTCTGGGCTTGAGGGGCGGTCTGGTTTTTCCGTCCTTGCCGTCGCCCCCCCTTGCTGCGTCGTCGCCGCCCGTCGTCTTGGCCTGAGGGTCGGTCTGGCGGTTCCTTGCTCGTTGCCGTCACCGTCCCGTCGCCGCCTCCTCGTCGTTGCCCTGTGCGCCCCCCCAGCGGTTGCAATCCAATCGGTTGCAAGCCAATCAAGTGCAAACCCAGTGGAATCGATTGCAGTCCAATCAATTGTAAAATTATGCAAACGCAGTTCCCCACATAACAAAAATTAAAGGAGAAGCTCATCGAACGAGTAAGTACGCACGAAAGGGCTGACGAAAGAAAGGAGGAGGGAGGACAGGTGCTCAGGAAACGAAGCCTTGTAAATAGTACGGGTTGTTGATACCCTCTTCGCTCTGGCGGGGGCCCGCTGGAAGGGGGGAGGCCTACGAAACCTGGTAAAGAGTAATGTCCGCGACCCTCCTCGTTCAAGCGAGTCCTCCTCCTCCTCCTCCTCCTCCTCCTCGTCGTCCTGCTCCTCCTCGTCCTCCTCATCCTCGGCATCATCATCATCATTTCTGCCCGCGGCTATTTGTGGCTTTCTTTCGGGCCGCGCTTCCATTCTCAAGTCTCTCAGGGTCTTGCTCAGGGATGCAAGACCTCGCCCACCATGCGGCGGACGTCCTGAGGTACGGGGCGCAGGCGCTGGGGGCCACAGTCGTGGCGCGGGCCGCCGCGCCGAGCTGCGGGGCCTGCTCGCCGCAGCTGGCCTGCCCCGCGCCTTCGACCTTCTCCTGCCCCGCCTGCGTCTGCGCGGGTGCGGGCGGGCACGTGGTCGAGCCCTCGTGCCTGGGCCTCGTCACGGCCTACGCGGTGGCCGCGCTGACCGTCGGCCTCGCCGTCGGGACCGTGGGAGGCGCTTGGGCGGCGCGGCGGCTTCTCAGGCCTTCGGCCCACCAGCCGCCCGCCTTGGTGGAGATCATTGACGGCATCGACATCGCCGCCCTCGCGGCTCAGCAGGTCCGAGACGCTCGAGCACGCGCCCCAGCGTTGCAGTGATGGCGGGCAGCTTCCACGTGCTGCGCTACCGCGTCGGTGGCGTGCCCCTCTGGCACGAGCGCCTCGTGCTCGGCGTCAACGGGGGCCTCGCCTACATCCTCACTCCCGACTTCGACGACTACGACGAGCCCATCGTCGTCGGCCCCGACGTGCGGGCCATCCTGCCGCTTGCGGGCCAGGGCGACACGCCGCCAGCCCTGGCGGGCGTCGCTGTGCACCGCTTCCGCCGCCTCCCGACGGCCGCGGAGCTGTGGGCGGCGGTCGCTCGCTCGGTGGCCGCAGGTTACCCGAGACCTGCTAACCCTCTGCCGCTGGCGCTCGCGGCGGGTAACGTGGCGGGCGCCCCGCCTGGTCCCTTCCCGCTGGCGGACCCTGCGGCGGCCGCCGCCCTGCCGCCTGCGGCCCTGCCGCCACCTCCTGGCGGGGCAGGGGCGGCGCCGCCTGCGGGGGCCGCGGCCCCTCTGGCGATGCCCCCTGCGGCCGCGGCCGCCGCGGCGGCCCCTCTTGGCGTCGCCCCTGGCGTCGCTGCGCTGGCCGCCGCGCTGGGAGCCGTCCCGCCTGGGCCCGTGGGGGCCTTGCCGCTGGTGCCAGCTCCTGCAGTGGAGGCTGCGCCTCCCGCTGCCGCCCCTGTGGCGCCCGCCCCCGTCGGAGACTTCGGGGTCCTCCCGATGCAGCTCAACCCGAGGGGCGAGCGCGAGAGGAGGCTCAGTGAGACTGTCAACGCCCTCTCGGAGACGCCTGTGCAGGGCTGGCCCGTGCAAGTGCCGCGTACCCTCCTCTGGTGCCTGTCCTTCATGTCGACGATGGCGGGTACGCCCACAGCGTGGCGCCAGAGGTGGCTCACCTCTATGGCGTTGCCCGACGAGGACGAGTACGCGAAGCTCCACGAGACCCTCTGCCGCGTCCTGGACCTCGCCGTCGTGTACGACCAGCTGCAGATCGCTGAGATGGCCTCGTTCGACATCGTCGCCCGCCAGCTCCAGCTCCTGGAGGAGCGGGTGTACGAGACGCGATCGGCGCCTCCGAGCGGCGCAGCTCCCAAGGCCAAGGCCGCGGCCAGAGGCGGCGCCGCAGCTGGTTCCTCCAGCTCGCCTGAGACCAGTTACTTCCTCGGCGCAGGCGTCTCAAAGGTCCACCTTTGCATCTCACCGAAGTTGCCGGAGTACATCGCAGACCAGATGAAGGCGGAGGCCGCCATCAGCAAGGAGAGACCCTTGAGGGCCGACGTTAAGAACAAATTATGACGTCGGGGGTCTGAGATGGGCGTGCAGGCGCCCGCGCCTCTGGCCAGGCAGGCTACCCACGGCTTGGCCAGATATTTTTTCGGCCGGAGGAGACGGAGGCCGCGAGGGCAAAGCCAGAGAACAAAAAACACAGCCGTCGAGAGGCCGCGCGGATTTCTGGGATCTGCGGTGGGCCCCCCTCCCTGGCGCGAGGAGCGCCGCAAAGGTCGGGAGCGGCCAAGAGAGGGGTGCCCAAGAGGGGGGGTGCAAATCATGACCGGCGGCATGTTGCGCGGCCCAGCGGGGGGACCAGGGACGTAATGAAACAAGAAGAGGCGCCATGAAATCTGGGGCGATATCATGGCCCACGCCATGATATCCACCCCCTCCTAGTCATCACCCCCCTCTTTGCCGCCCCCGCAAAGGGGGGGGCCGCTCGGAGCGTCGAACATCTATGGTTATACCGTGTTCTGCTCCCCGAGCACCGCACAGTCACACGACGACCGCCCCGCCGGTCCGCGAGGAGCACGGCTCGGCGGCTCGACCGGGGCGAGGGCGCCAGCCGCTCCCGCGGGCCCCACGCCGCCCCGGCCACCCGACGGCATCGGGCCGGAGGGGGGCGGGCCACGGCCCATCGAGCAGGCCCCGCGTGCAGATCCTCGCGCCCTGCCCCTCCTACATGCCCCTCCCCGGCGCTCCTCCCCCCTCGCTCCGCCCTCCTGCCACCTCCTCCCTGGCTCTGTTCTGCTCCTGCGCCCCGTTCGCCTCCGCCCCTCCCTCCCTCCTCCTTCGTTCCGCCCCGACCTTGCCTCCATTCGTCTTCCGGTCCTGCGTTCTCCCGCCCTCCTCCCCTCCTTCCCTCCGCCTAATTCTCCACCTCCCCCTCCACCTCCCCCATTCTCCTCCCCTCCTCCCTTCCGCCTACCCACCTCCCCCTCCACCTCCCCCCTTTTTGTCCCCCTTCTCCTCCTCGTCTCAAACCTTTCTCCCTTCCCCTGCCCTCCTCTCTCAACTTGAGTCTCGAAGTGAATGAGGTGTGTGAGGCCGACGGAGTTCGGTCGGCCCCTCTTCTCTGATCTACTACATCAACTTCTTGGTCTTCTTCCCGTCCCCTGGTCGGTTGGTGTTGGCGGAGACGTGCGAGAGTCTCAGCAGTCTTCGTGGGCAAACCGATCCACAGCGACAGCGCCAGGGACGGGGAGAAGGAAGATGGGCGAGGGGCCAAGACGGAGGAGATTGAGCTGGACTGCAGATCGTTTCTTCTTCCCTGTCTCGTCTCGCAGGTCAGCCGTGATCGATCACAAAAGCCTCAGCCTGCCCCCGGGTCGTGAAGCTCTTGTACCTGGCCCCGTAGAAATTTTCGCACTGCGCCCTGCACTCCTCCCGCGTGCTGTAGACCCCGGGGACGTGCCCGGCGGCGACAGCGTAGAACTTGACGGCGGCCCGCTTGGTCCGCGCTCGGGCCCAGCGACCCCCGCCGCCGTCTCTGCCACTCTTGCTCTCGAGCACCGCCCGCCTCGTCGGCCCTGGGAGGTCCTGCTGACCCAGCACCCTGGCCCTGGCATCGGACAGCTCGGCACGCTGGAGGTCTCCATCCTCGTCCACCTCGAAAGAGTCCTCGAACATCCGAGCGAAACTGCCGACGTCGGCTGCGCGGGGCATCCAGCGGTCCTTGAAAGAGTGCATGATCTCCAGCGCGGCCACCGCGTCACGCGCCGAGTATTCGACCTGTTCCTGGGAGAGCTGCTCGGCTCCCCAGTCGCTCCTCTGCAACACCTTCGACAGCGTCTTGCCGCACAGGCGCTGGTACATCTTGGCCAGGCTGGTGCCGTTCCTGGGGGGACCACGAGGAACCGATAGCTACTGCTGCTCCCCAGGCCTCTCCCGAGATGCGCTCTGACCAGCCTTCCCAGGATAATCCAGCCGTGGCGACGAGGACCTTCCAGGACGAGCAGCGGCATCGGCACCTTTTCCTCTCCCGAGTTCCCCCCCAGCAAGCGCTCGACCCGCTGGAGGTCCACGCTGCCGCGAAGCCGCACGCCGGAGCGCCAGAGCACCTTCGCGTCCATGACGCCGTGGACAACCTTCAGGACGCCAGGGTCCGCGAGCAGCTCCGCGAGTGGCGCGGGCACCGCGAAGTTCTCGCAATGGAACACCGCCGCGTCCGCCAGCGCGGCCGTGGGCGCGACCTGCACGACGTCCGCGCCCGCGTTCCTGTCTCGGAAGCCCACCTTTCGGCCGCACAGGAGGGTGACCCCAAGGCAACAGCGACCTTTGGTGCGCGGCTTCGGGGGGGGGGGGGGGGGGAACGCCCACGGGGGGGGGGAAACCAGGCGTGATGTGACCACTGCGGGGGGTGGGGGGGGACCTGTGGCCCGCACCACATGGCGGATGCCGGAAAAGCTGAACCAAAAAAATGCTGTCATCTCTTGAGGGGTCGACTTTTTACTTCCGCCGCCTTCCGCCAGCCTTCCGCCAGCCTTCCGCCGGAGGCGACCTCGTTTTACTTCCGCCGACCTTCTGCCGCCTTCCGCCGCGGAAGGGATGGCAGCTCCTTCGACCCTCGAAGGCGAGGCCCTTTTCGGAACGCCCCCCCCCCCCAGACATCCGGCTGCTCCATATTTTTCGATGCGAGGGCCCCCGGCCCCGAGGTCCGTACCACTTCCCCTGGGGCCGGTCTTTCGCCCCGAATCGTTTGTTGACGCTCCCGAGGCCCGGCGAGGGCCCCCAGAGTCCGAAAATGGCCCCAGACCGCCCGCTCCATTTTTGTTGGAGCGTCGTATCTCTTGGTAGGAGGGGAAATGAAAAGGGAGGACGGAGGGGAGGAGGAAGAGGAGGACGGTGGAGGAGGAGGAGGAGGAGGAGGAGGAGGAGGAGGAGGAGGAGGAGGAGGAGGAGGAGGAGGAGAGGAGGAGAGGTGGAGGAGGAGGAGGAGGAGGAGAGGAGGAGGGGCGGAGGAGGAGGAGGAGGAGAGGGAGGAGGAGGAGGAGGAGGAGGGAGGAGGAGGAGGAGTCGGAGAGGAGACCTCTGAGCTTCCGCACAGCCGAACCTCCCGCCACTCGCAGTCCAGGCCCACCACCGGCAGGGGCGCCGCTCCCAGCGCCGCTCGCAACGCGCGCCACGGCGGCGGCCGCCGCGGGCCCTCGCCGCGGGCCAGCACGGCGCCCTCGAGCCGCGGGCCCGCCCGCGCGGCCGCCGCGAGCGCGAGGGCCGCCGCCAGCAGGCCGCCGCAGCGCCCGCCCGCGAGCGCGCAGAGCGCCGGCCGGCCGCGAGGGCCGCGGCGGAGCGCCATCGGCGGGCGCGCGGGCCGGGCCGTCGCGGCGCGCCGCGGCGGGCGCGGCGCGGGCGCGGCCGCGGCGCGGCTCTGGCGCGGGCAACCGCGGCGCGGTGCGGCGGTGCGGCGTGGCGCCGCGCCGCGACGGGCGCGGGCAGCCGCGGGCAGCCGCGCCGCGGCCTCGGGCGCAGCGGCTCGGCTCAGAGTGGCTGCTGGCGGGCGCGGCTCGAGGCGCAGCAGGAGAGGGGGGAGCTAGGGGTCCTGCGCGGCGGCTTCTCGGCTGAGTGAGCCCCCTTTCTGCCTCCTGCGTGCCTTTGTACGAGCGCTTTGGCCTCCTCCTCCCCCTCCTCCTCCTCCTCCTCCTCCTCCTCCTCCTCGTGCATCCGTGTCTGCGGTCCTCCTGCGCGTGACTGGTCCGCCCGTCTGCTACACGCTATACGCCAGGTGGCACTTCGCCCGAAGCGTGTCCCGGCTTGGCGCACAGCGACGGTGTCGCCACCCAGCCGCTGGCGAGAGCAAAGTGTGCGCCCCTTCTCTCCGCCCGAGGACGTCGCCCGGACTCCCAGCGCGCTCTGGCCCCAATCTGGCCCCCGCATCGCCCTGAGCAGCAGCCGGCGGGCCAGGCACTGCCCGTGCCACCCAGCAAGGGCCAACACGACGCCCGACCAAGAGAACTGCAAACCGACTGTGCGCAGGCCCCTGGGGTTCTAGGCTGGCCTCGCGCGCGCCTCGCGCATGGGCACGAGGTTCAGGCAGAGGAGAGGGCGGCCTCCGACGACGGCGGCGATCACGGCGAGGACGACAACCGACACGACAACGACGACCGCGACGACAGAAGGAGGAGCTGTTCCTGCGCAGTGGGGGGCGGGGGGGTGGGAGGGGTAGGATGTCAGATGTGGCGAGAGGGCGCTTTGCCTGCCCCATGACTCCTCTCTTCCCCCCCACGCCTCGCTCCAGCTGCCCTTCCAGCGAGTTAGGGGAAGGATGCCAGGAGAACCTGATATTGCCACGAACCCCGACCTGATAATGGAGGTGGGGATGATTGGTGAGAGCGGCAGGGACAAGGAAGGAGTGGCCTGTTGTGGCCTTGATTAGACGACGGGGAAGACGTCCGAAGAAGAAATATGTATAATCGTGGTTGGTCTCTCGGGAGCTTCTGGGAGATTGTTTTGACGCCTCTTGGGGGTAGTTTTGGGGCATCATTTGGTCTTTTTGGACGCCTATTGGGGCCTCTTGGGGGCCTCTTGGGCGCTTCTTGGGGCCTCTTGGGGGCCTCTTGGGGCATCCTGGGGCTCTCTTGAGGCAGAAGGCTAGAATTTTCGGTTCCTGGTCCCGCTCTTGGGCCCCTCTTGGTGCCGTCTTGGGGCCCTCTTGGACCGTCTTGGGCGCTTCTTGGGCCGTCTTGGGAACCTCTTGGGCAGTCTTGGGGCCCTCTTGGGGGCCTCTTGGGCCGTCTTGGGGCAGTCTTGGAGGCTTCGTGGGCCGTCTTGGAGCGTCGGAAAGCCGAAAAGGCGCGAAGTCCAAAATCCTTCAGAAACCTTCGCACAATTGTTGATTTTCACCTCTTGGGGCTCTCTTGGGTGGCTAATTGGAGGCCTCTTGGGGCGTCTTGGCGGCCTCTTGGGCCATCTTGGGCCCATCTTAGGCTATCTTGACCGCTCAGTCGGCGACTCGTTACCCTCGTGGGTCATCTTGCGGACTCTCTTGGAGCCGCCCGTGCATCCCGGAAGCGCGTCTGCAGAAATACGGCCGTCTTCCGCCGGCGTTCTGCGCGTGTCCGGAGCCCTGTCCCGGGGGGTCCCCCCCCAGACCCCCCTAGGGGGACACACAACGGGAACCCCTCCGCCAGGTCGGGGAAAAAGGAGGGAAGAAGAGGAGGGAGGAAGGTCGCCAGGGCTCTGGGGGGCTCCGAGGAGGGAGAGACTTACACACCGACGTCGTTTTTGTTTGTCGTGTGTTTCTCATGCGGTCGGCCACTCGCAAGGACGAACCCTCGGCAAGAGTGACCTTTGGTGTGCGGCTTGCCGATCCTTATATGTGATGGGGCAGGTACTGGCAGCGGCCCGTGTGCTCGGCATTGCCCCCCCCCGCGCGCGCTGGAGACCCGCGCACCAACGTCACCCCGCAGAACGGCCACGCCTCGGTGTGCCAGTCGTCACGCTCCCATGAGGGCCGCAAGGCACGGAACGAGAGGGCCTCTCAAGTCACAGCGAGCCTCGGCCACGATCGGGCTCCCCGTGGTCCCTGACTGAAGCCGATCTACAGTCGGACTTAGTTGGAGAGGACACGCGAGAGGACACAAGACCCTTCCGAGGGCCACATTGCCACAGGAATGTAAGAGGCATGGGTCGCAAGACACAGGACACGAGGGTACCCTCGATTTGGCAGGGTCGATCTGCTAATCCGGGCCGCCTGAAGCCGTAGCTCTCAACCTGCTTCCCAGCCTGGTCTGCCGTCCTGGACCGTCCTCCCATAAGGCGGCGACAAAACGACACACGCGCCCCCAGCCACGTACGTGAATCCATGTGAGTTTTTTTTTGTCGCGAAGCCAGAATCATTCAGTTTCCACAAGGTTCGTCACTTTTCCAAGTTCCGACGCTCCAAGGCGCCCGCAGAAGCCCCCAAGATCGCCACAAGACGGCCATAGAGGCCCCCAAGAGGGCCCCAATCGGCTAGACGTAAGAGTGACCCTGGGTAAGAGTGACCTTTGGTGCGCAGCTTTTGGGGGCGAAGGGGAGCCAAACCCAAGGGCGCGGGCCGCTTATACCGCATCGCGCTCGGCGATCGGGGGGAGCCCGCTGAGCCCGCACCCAAGGTCACTCCGGCGAAAGGTCACTCTTACGTGAAGTCGACCTGTGGTCTTGCCACAGGGGTACCCGGCATGCTAAATGTCTGGGCGGTGACTGGTTCCCTTTACAGCTCATCCTGGGGCTTCGGTCCATCGCGCTTGGGGGCGTGTCTCGTCTGTCTTGCCGCTCAAGATGAACCCGAGATGGCCTCCTTGACGGCCGAGGTGCCTCAGAGACGGCCAAGACGGCCAGAAGGGAGCCCAAGGTAGCCCCAAGATCGCCTGCAAGACTGTCCCAACATGCCTTCAAGACTGACAAGATGGTCCTAGATAGCTCTAGACGGCCCCAGAAGCGCCCAAGAGGCCCCGAAGAAGGCCCAAGAGGCCCCCGAGAGGTACTGCGAAGAGGCCGAAATCATTGATTTCTTGAAATATTTGACAGAATTTGCCACTTGCTTCTTTCGGCCTTCCGACAGCCCAAGACGGCCCCAGATGGCCCCACAGATCACCCTAAGATGGCCCCAAAGGCCTCCGAGATGAACCCGTGACGGTCCAAAAAGCCTCCAAGAAGACCCCAGGAGGGCCCCAAGACGGCCCACGAGACCCCCAAGACGCCCAGGATGGCCTCCAAGACGGCCCTGAAGCGCTCCAAAAAAGGCCCCGCGTCGGTTCCGAGAGGCATCCAAGACGGCTTCCGACGGCGTCAGACGGGCCAGGAACGCCGTGAGACAGCCAAAAGGGCCACTCAAG